TTTAGGTGATAATATTTGCTTACATTTTATACAAACTAAATACAATTTCACTTATTAATAATTTAATTCAAAAATATTACAAAAATTACAAAAGCTCATAATCGTTTACAAATCAGAATTTCTTTGGGGAGAGCTGCCCTCGAGCCCCCATGAGGGGAGCTGCCCCCTCGACCCTCGTAACCTGATCGGTCAGGTCGATCCCCAGTGGGGCGTTGCCCTCGAACCCCCACGAAGGGCACTGTCCCCTCGACCCCTATAACTTGACCGGACAGGTCGATCCTCGCTGGGGGTGTTGCCCCCGAACCCCTACGAGGGGCGCTGACCCATTAGCAAGCTTATAAAGATTAATATTGTCCCCATTAAATTNTTATAAATATTTTGGTACATGAGACAAATATGAGTTGTCAAACGTTAGCAAGCTTGGAAAGATTAATATTGTCCCCATTAAATTCTTCCTTGGAAAAAATTTTGGCTACCAAAAACTTTTCATTTAAATCTTACTAGAATATTATCATTATGAAAATTTTCTAATTATTATGTTACATAAAAACTTACTGAACTTTCACAATAATTTAGTTTTCCATTAATATTTGATACACTAACATTATCTTAAAAATACCAAAAGCCGTACATTGTCCGGGCATACCACTAGTAGTATGATAATGGATAAATCTCATATCGAATAAAGATAAAAATATAGATTAACTTATAAAAATTTGTGTTACTCTTAACAAAAGTTTTAATATGGTATTAAAACTCATCGAACTCCAATGAGCGATTTGATTCTGTTAAGACTCAAAAAAAGAAATGAGCATGCAAATTTCAAGATTAATTTGCTCAAACGAGTCACTATATTTGAAACATGTTAAGGGATATGCCCGACTCCTTTGAAGAGTAATGCAAATAAGCATAAGATTATCTCCCAAATTATCAAGATATGTTAACAGTTCAAATCCACCATTGCTTCCTGGTCGACATTCTCTACTAGTGGTCGAATTTTCATTTCCTTTAAGAGTTCAATGAGTCCAAATAAGGTTGAGACGTTTGATTTTCACTAAAAAATGGTTGCATAGTAACAAGGAACCAGCATTATCTTGGGAATGGTTTTTAAATTAGTAAAATAGATCAACTTTATGCTCCAATTTCAGTGGGATCTGTAATCCATTTTTTATGGGATCAAACGTATTAATGTTTACTACACAAATGTGATTAATGTAATATATTTATTTATCAAAACCATTTAGAGTTGAATGAAATATTTGATGTCAAAGCAACTCACTTGAAACTATAAACTAGTGAATAATTTGACTTAATTGAAAATTGTTAAACACTTATCCCACATAGAAAAGTTAGGAAACTTTGGTGTAGTTTATATAGTGGAAGTTTGACGATTGGGTTTGGGCTCCAAAATGAACCAATAGTCTTTGGAAGGAAAGACATATATCGTATTGAGTTCGATCCTAAGTCCACTTACGCTTTCGCCACCGCCATCCGATTGGTACGACACAAGCATGAGCATGTGCCCATGTCCAAGTCCGATTCGGTTTGTGGGCAGGTGGGTCCTTGTCCTATATATATATATTTGAACAAAATTTATTTAACAGCCGTTAATCGACTTAATGGGCGTAGTATTTTAGTCTGAATAGAGCTATCTGGTAGGGGTTTAGAGCGCGGTTTGAACAATGATGACTCTTCTGAAAAAGTTTAAAGGATTTTCGAATGACCACGAACGAAATTATAAATAGGCATGCCCTGCTTTCAAATAATTACACAATTTTCATTGCAAAGTTTTTCTACTTTGAATCTTATGTCTCTCGTTCTGATACTGTTCTCGAAGTGAAAAACTTCATTGAGTTTGTTGGAACTCTGCAGATTACAGTACTGCTTCTGTAGGAGACAAAATTCTTTATATCCGAGGAGACTATTGTTGAACGCCTTTAGCACCTTTGAAGACAGTAAATTCGTTTTAAGGAAACACAGTGAAGTTGTTGGACTTGAATTAACTTTGATCATGTTGATCATCTTGTTACTTTATTCAAATTACATTATGGTAATCCTGTCAGCGTTTTATATTCAAATTATTCGAATGAGAAATTTATACTCCAGAAATAACAATCTTAAAACGATTTTTTTATTTTGATGTATTTTGTTTTTACTCCTTACTATTTATCTTCTAATTGTATTTCAGAAATTGCAACTTTAGGTACTATACTCTCTAATATGATTGGAGAAAAACTAGAGAAATTTAATGAGTCGGATTTTAAACGTTGGCAATAAAAAATGTCTTTTTATCTGACAACATTAAGTTTGACAAAAATTTTCAAATATGATGCACCTTCATATACCAAGGAAGAAAATGATGCTGAGAAATTGGCTACGGTTGATGCATGGAGGCATTCAGAATTTTTATGTAGAAATTATGTACGCAATGAACTGGACAACACATTATATAATGTGTACAGCAATGTGAAGTCTGCAAAAGAACTGTGGGAATCCTTGGACACCAAGTACAAAATCGAAGATGTCGGCACGAAGAAGTTCATTGTCGGTCATTTTTTGGATTNAACACATTATATAATGTGTACTGCAATGTGAAGTCTGCGACAGAATTGTGGGAATCTTTGGACACCAAATTCAAAATCGAAGATGCTGGCACGAAGAAATTCATTGTCGGTCGTTTTTTAGATTAAAAAATGGTTGACGCAAGATTGTCTTAGCCCAAGTTCAAGAACTTCAAATTATACTCAATAATATCCATGCCTAAGAAATGAAACTAAACGAATCATTTCAGGTTGCTGCACTGATTGAGAAATTGCCACCTTCTTAGAAGGATTTCAAGAATTACCTAAATTATAAACCTAAGGACATGAAACTTGAAGATTTCATTGTCCAATTGAAAATAGAAAAAGACAATTGCAAATATGAAAAAATGAGTGGTGCGTTTCATTAGATGGAATCAAAAGCTAACATTGTGGAATGAGGTAACAAGACTAACAAAAAGAGGAAACACAATGGTGAATAGAAAATTGGTTATTCAAAAACTCCTAAAATGTTTGTAGCAACAGTTACAATTGCAGCAAGGCAAAACATCGATACAAGGATTGTCGAAAACTAAAGAATGTCGA